ATTTATAGATTTATATTTTACAACACGATAACTTTATTTAGTGGTTTTCATACAATAAATAGGCACCTGTAAGAGTTGCCATATTCGTTGAATTGTGTTCAAAGATATGTGTAATTTAGATTAAAACTCAGTATGTTTATCTTATGTTTATTTTTTTACAAATCGTATGACTATATGTTTACATAATGTTTTTTAATAAGCATATAGTAACAGATTCAACACCAACATACTGACTATTTATTATAATCAGCCAGGTTATTGTCTGATCGTAATATAGCAAATTTATTAAAATCTAGCACGCCGCTGTCATTAATCTTATGTTTATGTTATTAACAATACAAAATAATTAAGTGGTTAATACTATATGCTCATCTTATTTTCAATTCCAGTTTATATGTAATTCAAAGTAAATATTTGATAAAGAATTAAACAAAATTAAACCAAAGAAAAATGACATTGAACCAACAAAATTAAAAAAGTCGGTTAAAAAGAAATACTTGAAAGTATTGAAGTCAACAAACAAAATATGGTTGGTTGGATATCCTTTGGAAGATTTAAAAACAAGCACTTTGCCCACTACCAGAAATGTTTATAAATTTTTCAGGTTAGGCTTAACACTATATTAAGACTGAAGTTATAACTTTATGTTTTTGAAAGTTTTTTAAAAGTTCAAATTATTTTCATCTTCCATTTCAAGGTATCACTTGAAAGTTATTGGTAGCTCTTATGAAGAGTTTACTAAAGTTAGGGAGGCATTGCACACTCAAAGCAACATTTCGGAATCTAGGTTAGCTGCATTGTTTACTATTAAATCAGTCAAGCTCTTTTGGGATAAGGCTAGCATTCTTTATAAACAAGACAAGTACAGTATTGAAAATATTTTAAGGTTACATGACAAATGGAGGTTGCTTGCAAAATCTAAAAATAGAATTTCTAATAAGAAGAGTTTACTTAAACAAAACTTAATTTAATCATTAGATGGCATTTTTGATATTAGTTCTCCTAGTTGGAAAGATTACATTAGCAAAACCAGATCAGCTAAGGATTCAGATGAAGATATTGCCTGGTTTACAGCTCTTCAAAATGAGTTCTGCATATCAAAACTCTCCTAAAAGTAATCCTGAGTTTAATATTTCTAAAAGGCAGCAAGGAGAAAAAAAAGATACCGGATCAGATAGTATCACACTGGTTTTGCCAAAAAACTTCATTTCTCACCCAATGATAACAGCAACTTCAGATAGAACTAAGCTATCAAATCCTCAGTTAATGATGAATACTTCTGCAATTCTAGTTTTAGGTTCATTTTTTATTAATAAATAAACAAGATTACTGTATACAATCTAAAAAGAAATATATATTTCTTAATTTGATACAGGTGATGTTAAACCTGACGATGTTAGCCTTTTAATAAATACTATAAGAAGATCACGAAAGCTAAATAGGCAAGTAATGGCAAGGAAAATAATAACAGAATTTCAAAATAAGATTAAATCAGATTATTTGACACTTCATTGGGACGGAAAACTTTTAAAACAAATCTCAGGGCAAAAGTTTGAGTATTTAACTGTTTTGGTCAGTGGCTTTCCTAATTGTGTCGAAGAAAAAATATATTCAATAAAACCTATACAGTCTGGTACAGGACTTGCTACTTGCAAAGGAATCTTGGAAGACTTAGAGGAATGGGATCTCAAAGCCAGCATTGTCGCCCAAGTTTTTGATACAACTGCATGTAATACAGGAGTTAGGAATGGAGCTGCAACTCTTTTAGAGGATTGTAAATCAATGAAAACTCTTCTTTGGCTGGCTTGTCGCCATCACATTTTAGAATTGATCTTGGGAACATTTTGGAGCTCCTTATTTTAAAAAGAAAAAAAAGCTTATTATAATATAGATTTCAAAGATTTTCAAAAAGAATAGATTTGCGCAGAAAAGGCTCCACTAAAAAAACTAAACAGGTTTCTGGACCTTGAAAATTCTTTTCTTAAAACGAAAGCAGACGAAACTTGTATGTTCTTAGAGGAACAAGTAAAATGTAAGCATCGTCAAGGTGATTAAAAGGAAGCTGCAGAGTTAGCACTTTATCTTTTAGGTGGACCAGAACCTAAAGTATGGAAAACCTGTGGAGCAAACCATCATGCTAGATAGATGTCACACTTGTTGTATGCACCGAAGATGTTCATCTTTAAAGAAGATTTACTCGATTCTGATATAGCAAAGTTAAAAATCTTTTTGACTTTCAGCTCAGTTTTATATGTTAAAGCTTGGCTAGAAGCAACAAAAGGCTCTGATGCACCAATTAACGATATTAATTTATACAATGATCTAGGCGCTCTAGGGCAGATCTCAGGCTTCTCTAATGCAGCTCAGAAAGCTCAAAAAGTTCTTAACAGGCACTCATGGTATCTAACTTAGGTCTCAGTCTTTAGTCTCTTTTCAAATAAGGTTTCTGCTAAAGAAAAGGCTAACATTGCTAAAATTGTTAGATGTAGGAAAGCCACTTGCTATCAACTCTGGAAAACCTAATCTTCCATCTATTCACAAGAACTTAGAGATATTGCCGTATATTGGGAAAAGATCTTGGTTGCTCTTACAAAACTTAAATGATAAAGGTAAATGGCTCAAACTTCCTCCTTCAGAACGGGAGGAAGATGGAACCTTTTTAAAGATAAAACATTTTATCAAACAGTCAAGGTTACAAACAATGTTGCATTGCAAGGAATCAAGTTATGTTCGGATTATCTTCAGATACTCACAAAGGTGAGAGAAAGGTATTTTTAAAAAGTATTTAAAGTTTTATTCAGATTTTTTTTAAAGAATGTTTGGCTAATTTTAGGATGAGGCAGTATGAAATGAAATAATAGAAGTTGTTGAAAATCATAGAAAACTTGTTGGTAATTTCAATAAAGAAGGAATGTTAATGACTTTGTTCATTTCAAATAACAATTTCCGTTATACCATTCATCACTGCACAAGATAGCACCTTGGTTATATAGAATAATGGATTCATTTTTTAAAGTTAAAATATATTTTATGTGATAGTTAAAGCATTTTAAACATTTGGAATAGATGCTAAATATGTCCTAATCCCACACCACTTAAGGTTTTGTAGTGATATTTTTGCATAAAAACTTAACTATTTTAAACATTTGGAATAGATGCTAAATATTTCCCAATCCCACATAACTTAAGTTTTTGTAGTGATATTTTTGCGTAAAAACGTGATTCTTTAAATAAAATGCGGCAGTACTTAAAAACATCATAGAAAACTTTCTTTTTTTAAAATAATAATTTCTATATGGTAAGGAACAACTTTTTATGCAGCTGCATGTAATTTTTAAAATTTTTAGATTTTGGCCTGCCCTACTTTATATATACATATATATATATATATATATATATATATATATATATATATATATATATATATATATATATATATATATATATATATATATATATATATATAAATAAATACACACACAAACATAGATATATATTTATTAGCAGGCCTTGTAATGAATAAAAACTGCGCGACGTGATTTTTGACGTCATTATATTCTTTTTATTTGCTTTTCATATTTATCAACATTAACTGCACCAATTTACTTAATTACCGCAAAACTACTATAAATCATTAATGTCGAAATGTTATTATTTAAAAATGTTTTTGAATATTTCCTTTTTTAAAATGTAAAAACTTTTGTTTATTTTCTCGACGTTTGACACGTTTTGTCTATACTAAACGAATAAAAAACATTATAAAAAAGATTATAAAATATGCTAATATTTGATTTTTTTTTTCTCAAATATGTAATTTAAAGTTTTTCAAATAATTAATTTTTCTTTTTAAAAAGTCAGCGAGTAATAAACTGGAAAATTTAATATTGTACGATTAAAAACTGTGAAATAGCTAATATTTTTACTAGCGATTTTATATAATATTTATTTATTTATTTATTTTTATATATTTTCATAAAGCAGTTAATAAGCACAATCACTCGTATTACTAAAAAACTTTAACGAGCGTTTTGAATAGATTTTTAATGTTTACAAGGAATTTTTTTTGATAAATTTTTGGTAAAATAAAATAAAATGTTAGAATAAAAATCTTATAGGTATAAAAGAAATATTTCAGCAAAAAAATTATTCTTAAAAATTCTTCGAAAAACTATTGACGTTCTATTTTTCAGCAGTTGTTCTTGAGCACGCTTCATTGAGTTTCGGTAACTTTTAACAGAAAAGCGATTGTTATTATTTAAGCAATTTTTTTCAAGTTACTATTTACAAAAATTCTAATAGCTGTACTTTTTTATTGAATCAAGTAGAATACATTTTAATATTAATCCTTTTATTTTTTTTTATTTGTGCTCACCAATTTTTAAAATGTTTCCTCGAAATTACTCTTAAATACTTAAAATATGTCTAACATAATATTTTTAAATCTATGGAATAATTTTAAAACCTAACAAACCCCCATAAAATAACTATTTAAGTTAAAAATCTAAAACTAAAAGAAAGTATTTTTGTTCAATTTTATCGACAACTTTGCTATGGCTGAATAATTTTATTATAATGTAAAAAGATTTAAAAAAAAGATTTAAAAAGATTTAAAAAAAATTAAAAAAAAAAGCTTAAAAAACTTCTTTTATCTGAATCTTAAAAAACTTCTTTTATCTGAATCTTAAAAAACTTCTTTTATCTGAATTATCTGAATTTTTTCTACTTGTACATAATGAGCATATTTAATTTTTTTGTAATTCAAACTTTTAAATCAACTGCGCGCGGTTTTTAAAATACTTTATTAAATGTTAAAATAATCGTAAATTACTTCATTAAAATTCCGCTCAAAAATATCTTTAAATATACTCAAACAAAAAATTTTTTGCTCGACGCAAATAGCCCTAGCTACACGCAAAATCGCTCTTGGACGACGTATAATTCACATCGCCCGACGCTTTATCACAAGGCCTGTATTATTAATTAAATATATACAAATATACTTTTAGTTCATCCGAATTTATAGCATCTAACCAGCTGGTATCATCTTCATCAGAGCTGTAAAAAAGTACAGTAACATAGCTACAGTTAAAAATACAGTAACATTTCATAGCTACAGTTAAAAATACAGTAACATTTCATAGCTACAGTTAAAAATACAGTAACATTTCATAGCTACAGTTAAAAATACAGTAACATTTCATAGCTACAGTTAAAAATACAGTAACATTTCATAGCTACAGTTAAAAATACAGTAACATTTCATAGCTACAGTTAAAAATAAGACAATTTAAAAGATAACTTTTTTTAATTTTAATGGAAACTAAAAATGAGAAAAGAAGAGTTTTATTTTTTTTAGAAAGAATTTTTTTTTGAATTTTTCAATCATGTTTCTATATTTATAGCTGATCTGATATAAAGTCATATAAATATTATAAAATTTATTAAAGTATAAATTTAGATTATGATATAAAGTACAGCTATAAACCAGATATAAATTAAAGTTAAATGAAAAAAAGCTTAATAAATACTAGAATTGGCTCAGCTAAGCCAATCTCATTAAAAAACTATATATATATATATATATATATATATATATATATATATATATATATATATATATATATATATATATATATATATATATATATATATATATAAATTTTAGATAATAATTTGTAAAGCAATTGCTGAGAACCTTTCAACTTTCTTTTCTTGAAAAGCAGGTAACTGAAATATATCTGGTTCATTACTTTTTTGAAGTTTCAACTTTAGCGTGCTAAAAAAAATAATGAAAAAATATAACCGATGAAAATACTAAAGATAAAAAATCAAATTTAAAACAAATGTTTACAAATGAACCAAAGTTAAAAAACAACATGTTTATAAAACTAATTGCAGATCTTATGGACTCATTGAAAAGAATTAACTTTGTAAAATTACAATAATTTACTAACATAATTATAACAAAAATCTTATGAAAATGAAATGTGTCATTATTACAGGTTTTATAGAACTGCACATAAAAACTAATGGTTTATACACAAATATTTATGTAAACAAAATTACTTTAACAAAATTCTTATCCACCTAAATTGCATATAAAATATCTGCAATGTCACAAAATAAAAAGTTTAATTGATATAAGGATATAACCAAGAAGCCATAACCAAACAATTTTTCAATAAAATCAACTTAAAATAACCCTTAAATAAAAATCTAAATTTAACCAAAATATTGTGTTGAACAATATAACTGATTATAATATTTTCCTAATATTAATGTAAATTAACTGTGATAATAAACTCTATTTTTTTTTTAAAGTTGAAAAAACTCTAGTATTCACATAAATTTTCTTATAGGTTAATCCTTTAATGTTTCATGTCAAATTGAACAAACTCACATCATCATATAATACACATTATCAACAATAATATTTAAATAAAGGGTTATTTTGCAAAAAAATTCTTTCTTCAAGGAAAGAATTTTTATCCCTAATTTCTACCAGCTAATAGGTTTTTAAAAAGTTATACTATGGATACTTTTAAAAAGAATTAAACTTGTTATTAAACTGAAAATAATCAAATATCTAGTTTTAATATATTTCCATTGGTAAATTTCATTTTTTAATTGGTTGGAGATTTAAAAAAAATAAAAAAATTCCAGGTTTATTACTTATAAGAAACAGGAGTGATGAGTGATGATTGCCTAAATTTGAAACAAACTTTTTTTATCAATTAGAAATGCAATATCTTTTGGCCTAGTTTTTATATCTTTAGCTCCATAATAATAAAATTAACATAATTTAACATAATTAATACACTTTTACAATTTTTCATTTTTTACCATGCTTCAAAAACTTCAATTTTTAAAAAACTGTATATTAACTTAAATTTTTGTTTGTTAAAAGCCTTTTTTCATATCAGCAACCCTATCTGTATAAATAGTAAGAACCATATAGCATTACAAAATTATTTATAAAGATTATTAAAATTAAAAACTTAAAATTTACCTCTTTTTACCAGTGACACATTCTAATGCTTTTGATTTCAAAAAGTTATTTATGAGAGACTCATCAATTTTACCCTTACAGGCCTCGGCTTTCAGACGATAACTTCGACGCAATTTCTACAAAAGTATATTAACGAAAAGCACAAAAAAAAAATAAATTATAAAATGTGTAAACAAATTTATGTGTATTAATCAAAACAGATAAACAATTTTAAATAATAAAACCAAAAAATGTAATAAAACATTATTAAACTCTTTAAATAGTCACAAAAGCAGACATTTTAGCTTTAAATTTGACAAGATTATTTTGTGGACAATTACAAATCTAAAACAAAAATCTTTATTAAACATAAACTTATTGATTTGGCACCCACCAACGTAAAGTGACACCTACCAATGTAAAGTGACATCCATCAACATTTTTGACACCCATCTACATTTTTTTGAGCTTTTAAACCAAAAATTTCAAATTTTAAAAGGAAACATTTTCATTTATATAAATTTCTGTTTAAAAGAATGTCATTGGTAGCAAATATCTTTTTGGAATTCAAAATTCTATCACAATGAAAATTATTTTTGTATGTATTTTACTATTGATGTTAAATAAGGATGTTTTTAAAAGTGATTGGAACATGAGAACAAAAATACCACATAAAACATTAAGGAAGTAAGATTTAAAAAAAAAAGAAGTGATATTTTACAATTTTTTATAATTTTATAATTGAGAATAAATTATTAGTCAAATTTATAAGTCAGCATAAATTACTCCTAATGTCTGGTCATAAATAAACTAATTCTCTTGTGAAAAATAAAAATAATAATTTTTATTTTTCACAAGAGAATTAGTTTCTGACTAAATATTAGCCAAGTGATAAAAAAAATGATAAAAAATGTTTAAAACACTAACATCCATAAAAATACCATAAACCAACCAAATGTTTTTGGATGGTTTATGGTATTTTTATTTTTAGTGTTTTAAACATAATTCTTCTCATGGGGGTCTCATCATCTCTAAATTAATACAGGCAATTTTTCTTAAAACCCTCTCTAAATAAATACTGGCAATTTTTCTTAAAAATAAATACGTCTTTCAAAAAAAGATACCAACAGAAAAGTAATTATATATATAAAAAAAAGTAATTATATATAGTTATATATATGTTAAGCAAAGATGCTGCTTTCTTGCAAAATGACATCAACAAAGCAGTAGACTGGTCAAAAAAATGACTCTTGCTATTAAACATAGACAAGTGTAAAGTGATGCATGCAGATAAAAAGCCACAAATCCAAATACAAGTAATGCATGCAGATTAAAAGCCACAAATCCAAATACAAGTACATGTAAAACAAGAAAATGAAGATAATACACATAATCAACTACTAATCACTACTGTTCAACATGACCTTTATGTGGGTGTTTCAGACAACCTCAAAGTTAAACAAACGGTTGATTTGGCAGCGTCAAAAGCTAACATTATGCTCAGAAAGCTTAGAAAGTTTAGAAGCAGAGGTATGCTGCATTGGAAAGTGTTCTATACTACTTATGTTAGACCACACTTAAAATTTGCTATCCAAAATATGGTCAACCTATCTCAATTGGAATATAAAAAGACTTGAACAAATTCAACACAGAGCAACTAAAGTATTTACTGAGCTCAAACATCTTTCTTACAAAGAAAGTCTCAACATCCTTGGACTAACCACTCTGAAAACCAGAAACAAACATAGAGATCTTATACAAACATATAAAATAATACATAATTTTGAAAAATTTGACTTCACTCCACAAATAACAGTGCCTGCTACTTCATACTAAGATCTATGTAGCCATAAACTTCGCCTGGGAAAACAGAATGTGTCAAACTGCTGAACTCCATTAGTTCACAAACCGTTGTGTAAATAATTGTGGTGGAATTCTTTACTGTTCGAAACTGTAAACACATCGTCAACAAATACTTTCAATAACTTTCTTACCAGAAAAGAATAAAAGCATTAGCCAAACAATATAAACAGTCAACCATATACTCAGAGCATCTTCAGCATGTGCCTGGTGCCATGTGGTGCTACACTTCATTCATTTAAAGAACAATTTAATTTTTTTCTTAATTTTTGAAAACACTGAGATGTTTTTGACATGTAGTTAAAGAAATAAATTACTGAGAATAGAAACTTATATAAAAATATATAAAAAAAAAGATTTGCTACATATTGTACCCTGTGATTTTTTGAATTTTTTTTTCTGTGTTTTGCCTCAAAATTAAATTTTGTAGATAAGGTGATCAAAGGAAGCTTTTTCTATATAATATGACATCTCAAAACCTATTTAATTTCGAGAATGTAGTCATTAAATTTCGATATTCATTTTAAGTCAAGACAGGTTGAGTTAAGTTTGAAAATTTCAACAAGTTAATTTGAGTTTCTTAATAACTTCAAATCTCTGACAAATTCAATCTTTTATTGATCTTTTTACAATCCAATAAAGTTGTTTGAAGACAAAAATATATCTAACATTTTTCGTTTGTTTTTGAGAGTTTTCTTGATTGAGCTGTAGTTACCTTGCTTGACCCTAACTAATTAACACTCAGCTAACTTGTGAGCATACCATGTTGTACTAATGCTGGTGTGCTTTATTCTCACAGATCTGCTAATAAAAGAAAAAATATTATATACTATTTTTGCTATTACCTGAGTATTTTTTTTTAGTTCAGGCACATTTCCATCAAAGACAAATACTGGTTTAATCCCATAAAACAGAAGCTTACAAATTCGATGAAACATCAACACTAAGTGTGCATTGTATACTTGATTCCCATGTTTATCACGCATTCCTTTAACAGCTTTGTTTAACCATATGCTTACATCTATCAATAAGTATAGCAAATAAAAACTAAAAAATAAAAACTGAATACCACATGAACTTATAGCAAAACAAAATTGAAATTTTTATATTAATTATATAAAGCAGTAAATTCAGTTAAGTGACAGTAATGATGAGCACAAGTGATGAGTTATTAGATTTTTTATGTTTCACACAGAGCTAAGTATGCAAAAGAAGACTAGAAAAAAACTTAAAAAAGACTTTTCTTTAAACTAATAAATAAAAGCCTGTCTAAACCAAGCAATATACTCAAAGTCATGCGCCAATGGCTAAACAAATCAATTAAAATATGTACACAACTTTTTTGGCTAATAAAGTTTATATATGTAAGTGCTTATTTTGGCAAATAAAGATTTTTTTGTTTTTTAAAAACAATTTTTAATTAGTTTAATTATCTTCCTGAATATAAATGCTGCAAATGAGGGGCCTTCAATAGATACATCAACTAAAAGTTTGGGTTTGGACAGATACTTTCTTAATATGCTAAACTTAATTTTTGAAAAATAATTTATTTTTCCATAGCTCTTACTTTTTCTTCTTTTTCTGAAAAATTTAAGTGGACATTTAATAAGAATTAAAGTACACAAAAATTATCAGGATTTAGCTATCCTGTATAGAATATGTATGCAGGCCTTGTTTTAAAGCGTTAAGCTGTAAGCTTAACGCTAACAATAAGATGGAAGAAGTAATTAATTAAAAAAAAAATAATTAAATTTTGAATGATGATTATTTAAAAAAGTTTGTAACAAAAGTTTGAATGAAAATTATGTTAGATGTAAGCGCTATTTACTAATGAAAAAACTCAAATAAAATATAAAAACTACGAAAACATAATCTCTATTAAGCTAATTATTTTATCTAAACAGAAAATAAAATTGTTTATAGTTCACTACAAAATTATTTTTGTTTTTTATTTAAGTTATTCAACGAAACATAATAAAAAAAACCATAAAAGAAATATATATAATAAAAACTTCTATTTATCATCTTGCAAGCACAAAAGTATTTGTACAGCTTTTGATTGCAGTAAAAAAAATTTACCTAAATTTCTGTTAAATCTGCTCATTGCCTATCTAACCACTAATCACATGATATAAATTTTAGCAAATCAGAAGCCGTAATTCGAAAAGTAGTGACAGCGTGTAAGTCAGTTGGCCTCACAACACCGTTACGACAAGAGATTAAAAAAAAAAACTAACAACAAGTTGTTAATTTTTTACTAAACTTACTTGTTCTAGTTTCGAACCTTATATAGAGATAACAATTCGCCAAATATCCCTATTATATACTGTTATTGATCCAAATTAACTATTAACTAAAAAATCATTTTGATAGAACAAAAAAAAGCGATATGAACGATCTACATAAATATAGAAAAAAATCTCATTGCTTAAAAAAAAAGTTATATAATCCAGAATATACAATGAAGGCAACTTTTTGTGTAGGAGTTCACCATAAAAATCTTATTTAATATTTTATCTTAATTTTATTTAGCGCTTGAACAAAAAAGAAGGTCATTAATCAAATTAAATATAATATTCTATAATAAGGAAAAATAGCATTCTATAATACTGGAACAAAAATTATAAGTTTAAGAAATTTAAAAAACCTTAAAAAACTTAATAAAATCTAAACAACTAAAATAAATACAATTGTTTAAAAATCAAAAATTTTGGTTTTTTTAAAACATTTTCTTTAATATGAACACAACTTGTCTTGGTAGGGTAGGGTGGGGCAAGAGGCCCAGGTGGGGTAAAAGGCCCATCCTGCAGTTATAAAGAACCTAGGTAAAATGTTATAATTATTGTTTTGTAGTATGAATGATAAATGTGTAACAGTGATGCGAGCGAATTTTGGTGAACTTTTAGTAAAAATATAATTTTTAACAGAATATTGAAGACTTGACAGGTAATAAGAATAGGACATTTTGATTTTTTGTGTAATTTTAAAAATTTTTTGTAGATTATTGTTAAATTTAGTTGATTATTTAAATGAGTTTATGTATTTGTAAGCGTACAAATTATGTATTGATTATTTACATAACGTTCATTGTACCATAGAATAATATGTTTTTATCAATTTTTGCACCGACCATTTTGGGGCAAAAAGCCCAGTTTGTTAATGGGGCAAAAGGCCCATCCTGAGCTTTTTACCCCTTGCATTATTCAAGTAGAATGTTCAAATTTTAACTTTATTTTATTTATAGATATGGTTAGAAATTACAAAAGGAAGACAAAAAGAGGAAGTTATGGAGCAGAAGGTTTATAACGGGCTTTAGATTCAGTAAAAAATGGTATGTCTTTGCGTAAAGCTGAAAACAGTTTTGGAGTTTCAAGGAAGACATTGAGAAGGCATTTGCAGGGCAAAGTAAGACAAGTTGGGAGCAATTAATTAGGAAATCATGTGAATACTTTTTCTATTGAAATTGAACAAGATCTTGTTAAACACATCCAAATGATGGAAAGAGCATTATTAGCTAGAAACGAAACAAGTGAACCTACGAATACAAATGAAGAAGCCGGCAATGTGGTGGATGATGATCATCGGTTAATGTGATGGAGACTGATAGGATTGCAACAGGAGATAGCAAGAAGTCCGATGTAAATCAACTAGATAAAACAGCTGATCATCCTGGTTTATCCGAAGCATTGCAGATTATATCAGAACTAAGCCCTATTCCAAGGATACAGAATGTACGCAGTCACAAACGGAAAACCGAAGCAGCAACTGTAATAACTTCTAGTCCTTATAAAGCAATGTTAATTGAAGCAAATGCAAAGAAGACAAAACAGAACAAGCAAGTAGTAGTTGAAAATAATAACGAGGAAAATGATGAAGACGAAATTGATGTAATCGCAGACAAATCCAAGAGAACGAAAAGTGGAGATGACAAACAAACTGGGAAAAGGAAGCAATATGCGAGAACAAAATCAAAAAGGACAATCAAAAGTAACGCATCGAATGCTAACGTGATAAGAAAAGGGTCAAAAGAACAAAGATGTGTAGGTTCTGTTACTAACAGTGATGATACGCCATGTTGCATGTGTGGTAAAAGATTTAACGAACCACCCATTGATGACTGGCAGCAATGCCCAGAATGTCTCAACTGGTACCACGACGGCTGTGGTCCTGATGACACTGCTGTCTGCTTTCACTGCCAATAGGCATAATCAATTCAACTAGTCTTACTGTAGTTTTTTAGCTGTCTTTTTAGCTGTATGAATTAGTTTTTTAGCTGTCTTTTTGGGTTATGAATTTTTTTTTTAGATATCTTTTTAGCTCTATGAATTAGTTTTTTTTAGCAACTTTTAAGCTCTATGAATTAGTTTTTAGCTGTGTTTTTCAGCTCTATAAATTAGTTTTTATAGCTTTTTAGTCTATAAATTTTTAGCTCTTTTTAGCTCTATTAATTTTACGGTGCTGTTTGCCATTGTCATATGATAGCATATATGGTGCTACTTGCTAATATTATGGTGCTAAGTGTTCTACTAAAACTTTTGTTGGACATTTTTACACACAAATATATTGTGACTAGTAAAAAGTGTATTGTTGCAATAAATTTTTATTGTAAAAAAGGAATATTTCAAGCTATTAACGTTTGGGGTAAAAGACCCAAGGTAGGGGCGTTTTGCCCCAGCAATGGGGCAAAAGGCCCACTCTATAGCAGTTTATAAAAAGCATATTTCCATTAAAACTTGAGTAGCCATTAAGAAAATAACTTTAGATACTTAAGTTTATTATGTATCTGAAATAATGGTAACATAAATTTCTAGATACGTTTATTGGATCAGTAAAAAAAAGAGGAAATTGCTTATGGTGGGCCTCTTGCCCCACCTTACCCTACTTGGGGATCCCTTTAAGTTTGAAGCGAAATTCATAAATAATTTAATTCTGATGAAAAATATGTGATTTAATTTAGAACTAATTTAACAAAAATATATAAATTTATTTAAACAAATTTATTTAAATATTTATATAAATTATTCTGATAAAAAAAGTATAACTTAATTTTGATTTAAAAATTATGTAATTTAATTCTGATTAAAAAAATATATTTAAGTTTAATAAAATTAAAGTTAATACTTGGGTTTAACTTAACTATCAAATTTATTTAAAAATATTACTAAATATTGTTCAATACTTTAATTTTATTTTTTCTCAAAAAAAAAATTATTATCGCTATTGTTTTTTTGGTTTTCTTTTCTAAATATTTTTTTTTTTTTACTCAAAATGAAATTTCTTGTAAACGTGTTTAGAGGCTGTATCAAAAATTTGCACAAAATGAAAGTTAAACATTTTTTAAACACATAATTTTAATAAATGGTGTTTGGAAAAATAATCTATATATAAAAATAATAAACTTTTAATAAATAAAGTAAATATATATATATATATATTTTTTTTTTTAATAAAAAATCATTTTCAGTTGCAAAGCCATAATTACAAATTCAAGAAATAATCATTTAAAAAAATTTAACATATTATAATTCATTTCTTACAATGTCGAGAAAAGAAAGAAATTTGTTTATATCAAACATCTTTAAAAATGTAATACTAAATTTAATTACTTAATATAAAAAAAATTGAACGAAAATTAACATTGCCTAATAGTAATAATAAAAAATGAGTTAAATAATATTTAATTTGTTTTGAGGTAATCAAAATTATTGCAGTAATTTAAAAATCTTACACTACGTAACAATATATTGTCGTTATACAAAGGAAATGCACTAAGTCCAAAAACATAATTTTGAGATAATGAACAAATATGTTTTTGCGTAATTGTTAAAATAATAAGTTTTAAATAAGTCCATACTGCCAAAAATGGACTTCTCTTTGTATACCAATGATATATTACACTTTTTATATTAAAAGAATACATTTTATGGTTTGGTATCAGTGGTATCTTGAACATTATATGACATTGTATTATAAGATTATTAATGTAAAAAAAAGGTCATTTTGAACTATTATAAAAAAAGATTTTGATAAAAATTTCCACATTTTTCTAGCTGACTCTTTATAAACTTTTCTCTTAGAGCTGACTCTTTATAAACCTTTAGAGCTCATACTCTTTATATATCTTTAAAGCTTAGACTCTTTATATATCTTTAGAGCTCAGACTCTTTATAAACCTAATAGACCTGACTCTTTATAAACTGTACTCTTTGCAAAATAGTTTGCAACATAATTTTCATTAACCAAAACACTTTTTTTAAAGTAAGCTATAAATTAAAATGTTAATAAATTATAAAAGTAAATAATCTTTATGAAAGAATAAAATAATTTAGTTTTATAAACAGTTATGCTTCCATTATTCCCAATTATTTGTGAAAGACATTTTTTTGTAAAGTTTTTTTTTTTCATAAAAATTTGCATGTCAGTTTTATCATTATTTGTATTAAAAATAAACATGATCAAAATAAAAATGATCGTTGAATATGCAATTTTGTAATCTTATATTTAATCTTACACTAAATTTCTCATACTAAAAAAAAAAAAAGAAAAAAAGAAAAAGAAAGTAACAAAAAAAGTTTTACTAAAAACATAAGTTTTATTAAAATCAAACTAAGAATACATTCATTTGTATCTAACATAGCAAGGTTAATTAATTCATTCAAAAGCTAATAAAACTTAGTTCATAAATTGTCAAACATTTGTCTTCTATTGTCAATTAAAAAAAAAAGATCTTTAGTTATTTTAATACTCAAAACTTTTGAATTACATTTTTAAAGCTACTTTAATATTATTTAAAATCAGAATGTTTAAATATCAGAAAGTTTGAAGATCAAGACAATAATTTGCTTGCAGGTAAATTTGACAACAGTCTAGCAAGGATAAACAAAAGATTAATTTTAAATATATATTGATTTTTTTCAAATACTAAAAGATAAAATACAGAAAAATACAGAAAAAACAAACCATGATGTTACACTAACCCATACTAGTAAAATACAAGTGTTCAAGTAACAACCTACATAAAAGATACTAGTTAAAGTCCCGCGCTCAAGCATTATTTATCAGAAAACATACTAGTATGTGTCCCGCATGCAATGTACAACTGTGGCACAGTCCAAATTTCTAGCTCAGAGCTAGAACAAAAAAGAGGTCCAAGTTTTATTGCCAGCTCTATCCCATTAAGTGACATTGGTAAGGAAGTATCAGTGAAATTCCTAGTTAAATACACATTGCTCTGTAATAAGACTGTAAGGACTTCTAGGAACACCTTAATGAAACCTTATATATATATATATATATATATATATATATATATATATATATATATATATATATATATATATATATATATATATATATATATATATATATATACATATACATATATATATATATATATATATATATATATATATATATATATATATATATATATATATATATATATATATATATATATATATATATATATATATATATATACCTTAAAGAAACGTGATGTTTGTTTTTCTGTCTGTCTTTTAAGAAATGCGCGCAAATTTGTCGATTTGTTGCACCCTGTATCCTATTAATTTTTTAATAAAATTTTAAACTTGCACCACATAATTTTATTAAACTTCATGGCACTTTTAAACAGCCTAAGTTACTTACGTTTTTAAACATCAATTACTAAAAAAATAAATAAAAAATCTGATGAGAGGGGGGGGGGGACCCTTTCCCTCACAATGGATTCGCCCTTGTATAAGCCTAATTATTTATGGGAAGGAATGATAAAGATTATTAGAGCTGTGATAAGTTTTTTTTTTTACTTTCGTTTACAATTAAGCTTACATTAATTAATAAATGTTTTGATTTTTTTTCCTGGTTTTTCCTTTATTTATTTTATCATTCTATTTTTTTAATTTGATTTTTGTATTATATATTATTTTATGGATTTTATTCTCTTTTCAGTTTATGGATTGTTTATTTCAATATTAATTTGCTTTGTTTTTTTTTAACACATTTTTTAAATACGCTAATTATCAAAACTTGCAAAGAGCCGTGAACAAGTTGTTAAAAAAAGAACTTTATGCGTGGTCATATAAGGCGTGCGATCGCACGCCTTGTACGAGAAGGCCTGTTTACTGTAAATTTGAGTGGAACAAAACAGTTTTATGGTTAAAACATTTTAAACAATTTATTAAAAGATAGGAGTTAAAACGACTTTAAAGAATCTGAAGTTAGCTCAAATATTTCTTTTTAATTTTTAAAATCTCAAATTGAGAGCAAAAAATTAATTCCAAAAGTTTACCAATAGCTAAAATCTTTCCATCAAGTGATTCCAATGAAACTGGCTTTCCAGCAATTGCCAGTAATTGCCAAAGTCCTTTAACACCCATTGCAAATTTTGATTAAAAAATTTGCAATCTTTGTTATTTTCTCTCATAAACACATTTGATCCTTTCCAGATTTTAGTTTCTATCTTGAAATGATAATAAAATAAAGGTATAGAATAACATCATAAACAAACAAATAATACTATAACAAATAAACTAATAAAAAAAAACTAAAAACTGAAAAAACCTAAAAACTTAAATAAGAAAAAAAAACTTAATTTCTATTAAGCTAATGATTGATTTTTTTGCTTGAAAAACGCTAATACTTGATGCAAGATGATAATTATATTATTAAATTTTTATAAAAAATATATGATTTAATTTGAAACTTATTTAATAAAAATATATAATTTTATTCTAATAAAAAAAACCATGTAATTTATTTCTGATTAAATAAATACCTTTAAGAAAAATATTATGTTAAAAGAAAAGTTAATGCTTTGGGTTTAACTTAACTGTCAAACTTATATAAAAATATTACTAAATATTGTCTAATATAAAAAAAAATTATTATAGCAATTGTTTTTTTGGTTTTCCTTTCTAAACATTATTTTTTACTCAAAATAAAATTCCTTGCAAACATTTTCTGAGACTGAATCAAAAATTTAAGTTAAATTTTTTTATACTTTAAGTTAAATTTTTAAAAGTTGAATTTTTTTATACTTAAAGTTAAAGCGTAGCAATTATTTTTTAATAAATGATATAAACAACAATATAATTTTAATAAATTGTGTTTGGAAAAATAATCTTTGCTAAAAAAAAAAACTTTTAACAAATAAATTAATTTTTTTATTCTTTACTCTTTTTTTTTTAATAAAAAATCATTTTTAGTTGCAAAACTAGAAATTTAAGAAACATTTATTTCAAAAAACCTAACATATTTTAAATCATTTATACAAATGTGCGAGAAAAAAAAATTTAAAAAAATTAGTTTATATCAAACAATTTTAAAATATGCAATATTAATTTTAATTATTTAATATAAAAAAAAAATTAAAAGAAAATAAACATTTCTTAATAGTAATGATAAAAAAACATGTTGAATAATATTTAACGCGTTTTGCAGTTATTAGTATTATTGTAGTTATTTAAAAAAGTTAGTCTTTCAAAAATAAAAAAATAAAGACAAATTTATGACATCAAATTCATATTAGGCAAATGCATTAAGCATTATTTATTTAAAACAAGGCCTGTGAGTATATATATATATATATATATATATATATATATATATATATATATATATATATATATATATATATATATATATATATATATATATATATATATATATATATATATATATATAATATATATAAACAACCCTCGGAATTAGGAAAATTGAGGTTGGCTTTTTTTTTTAAATATTAGATACCCGTCAAATTCTAGCTAATTCAAGCTTTCCCCTAAAAATATTTTTTTAATATTGTTTAAAAAAAAGTATTGTTCAAAAAAAAATTTAACCTAGTGTTTTAGTATTATATAAAACAAGTTAAAAGGGTAAGAGCAGATTTTTCTCAAAAAAGTTTTTTTAAGAGCCACCCTTATATATATAAATATATATATATATATATATATATATATATATTTTTCTCAAAAAAGTTTTTTTAAGAGCCACCCTTATATATATAAATATATATATATATATATATATATATATATATATATATATATATATATATATATATATATATATATATATATATATATATATTAGGACCCTGAAAATCAGCAGTTTTTGTTTCGAATCGAATCTCGAATCAAAGCAGGTCTTGATTCGCGATACAAATCACATTTCGAATTGACATTTTGAAGTCTAAATTTAAGCATTTTTTATTTAATAATACATATTTCAAAATAAAATAAAAAAATTATATAATCTCTTTATTGATTTGACTTCTTGTCCTGGTTAACCTTTTTAATGAGTGATTAAAAAGGTATTTAAGGATATGTAATGTTATTTTAATAGCGCCAAAGAGCAGAATATCTAAAATACCTACAAAAAAACAAAATAAGTAAGGATTCAATTTTGAAAATTTTTGAATCGCATCTTGAATCATTTTTTTGATTCGATTTGAAATTTTGAAGCATAACAGGGCCCTAATATATATATATATATATATATATATATATATATATATATATATATATATATATATATATATATATATATATATATTTAAACAATTTAAAAAAAATGTATTCTACAAAATAGAGTGCTCAATGTTCTAAAAAAACGGAACAATAATAAATTAGTAAAAACACATCTAATTTTTGACTTAACAACTTAACTTCACCATCAGTAGATTTATCAGGCTTCCTAAAGAGCCTGATGATAGTGAAACAAGTTGTTGAAGACAAAAATTAGATAAAACAAATAATTAATAAAATTAAAAATAAAAATGTAAATAAATACAGGAAAAATTAGTTAAACATATTTTTATAAAACCCGACCAAAAACACTAAAAAAAGGCTTTAAAAATATATTTCTTTTTATAGTTTTAAAAAAAATTCTAAACAGTAAATGCCTAATTAAAAGATTAAGTAAGTGTATCTTCATTTCTTAAATATTCACCTATATCTGCTTGGTGAAAACATACAATATCTGATGAGTCTGCATGTCTGCACTGTTGTGTACTTTTAGCTACAGCTCCAAAACCTAGTGGACAGTCACTCATTGAATAAACAACGACTCCTTGGTACTGAGGAGTATTATCAGTTATGCGACCCAGTCCACCTTTTTGAACATGATTACCATAAAGAAAAGACTGCTCTGACCCAGGTTTTACCCAAACTTTATACTTAGCATAAGGAGCTAAAAAATCAAGAGCAGTTATTTGTAACTTAAAAACACCACTTTTAGTAAACTTGCCAAAACATGTTCCCATTGATGCAAGATTTTCTCTGCCAATATTTGTTGCTTTTCTCATAATTTCTTCTTTTACATAATAAATTCTGTCTTTATGAAGTCTAAAACAATACATGCCATCAGCTCGGTCAATCAAGCACTTAACATTTTCTCCAATATACTTTGTTAACTTTTCAAAAACACTTTTTGTTTCATCTTCTGTGAGCGGTCTCATTCTTTATAAATTAATATTTAAAATGTGAAAATTTTCTTAGCTATAAAAAAAGATAAACACAATTATTATAACTCTAAACAAAAAACCAAAAAACAATACAGGTATAAGGAAAATGAATTAAAAATATTAAAAAATATTTTCTTAAAACACAGCATAACACAAAAACTGAATGCCATATATATATATATATATATATATATATATATATATATATATATATATATATATATATATATATATATATATATATATATATATATATATATATATATATATACTGTTATGCTTATTTTCCAGCTGATTGCTGAAAAAATGTCTAGATACCATTTATTTATATACATTATAAAAATTATATTTTAAATATGTAAAAAATATATCAAAATTATTTTCAACTTATAACAGTTTGAGACTAAAGTCTAAACCTTTTATACGCTAAAATCTTGTTTAAGGAGATATCTTTGAGATATATTTTATATTAATTTGTTGTGTCATTTTTATATGAAACAAAAAGAAATAGCAAAAAATACAGTTACTTACTTACAGTTAAAACTTACAAAAAAAAAAAAAAAAAAAAAAAAAAAAAGAAAGCAGAAAACAAAATGTTTTCTTAAAAAAAAAATCTAATGAGGCAACTTGCTCAATGCAGTGTCAACAAATTTTTTTAAAACACTTGAGGGAAAAAAACCCTGGGGAATTAGTTCTAAATAATTAGTAAATTAGTTCCTAATTATATTGCAGAAATAATTGCAGTTGTTATTCAGCCATTTTCTGTAATAGAAGCCCCCAGATTTTAAAAGATTGCTACCCCATATATTTCCTAAACATTGTATTCTAAGTAAAAAATACATTCAAAACTCTATATAAAATATATACAATATAGTAAAACAAAAAATCATAAATGAACTAAATGATGATCCATCCTTGGCAGACATGTAATTCAGGCACCCCTTTCAGTAAGTTCGTAAAAAAGTCTTATACCAAACATTGTTGAAAACCATACTTAAACCAAACCCTAACCATTAAGGTTAGGTTCAGGGTTTAGCTTAGAGTTTGGTAAGAGTATGGATTTCAAGAAAATTAACTTTGTTTTTGGGTTTAGGGTTAGAGAATGGTTTTCAATAAATGTGAAAATTGACTTGTTTTTTATAGACTTACTAAAGAGGGTCTTGTTGTTTTTTATAGACTTACTAAAGACCCCATCCTTTTTATTTATAACTAATAGATCTATACCAATAGAAAATGTCTATTTCTTAGCTTCACAGTTATTTGACTGACCAATGACTTTCTTCACAAACCAGCAATTTATAGAGTTAGTCAACCTAATCATTGCATACTGCCAAAAATACTGTAAAGCAACTCGTTTGTTTGTTTATAAAATTTAAATGAAAAACATTTTTAAAAACATCTTGATAGTTTTTAAAAGTTTTTTTAAAAACCATCCTGAAATTTTAAAATTGGTAGAAAATTTGATCTAATTGGACAATAAAAGTTCAACTTGATATAATAATGAAAAACTTTGTTTTTTAATTAAATCGATAGAAAAAATATATAAAACTTGATGTAAAAATGTTACACTAATAAAATCATTGCTACAAGCCATGTGCACTTTGTCGCATTGTGTATTTTTGTAAACTTGTGAAATATTTTTCTTTTCTCTTATCAGATTCACGGATTAAGAAAATCTCGTGAATTTTGTGACATTGCTCTTTGAACACAACACTATCTTTTTATTATTATACTTGATGCGCAATTTCGGGTAATATTATACTTAATAGAAATTGTTACTACTGTAGTGTATTTTAATTTAGTATTATCCCATTATATTTAGTATTAAACCATCGTTCTTAAAAGGACGTTGCCCTAAATTATGCCTTAATTAAACTAATATATTTCATAAGTTTCTGAAAGTACATAATTTTGCGAAGTGTTCCTGGACACATACCCAGAGGCAGTGGCAGATTGAGGTTTAGTGTCGCAGGGGGGGGGGCAAGTCAATAAATAGGGGCGACCGGGGTTGCCTTCAGTAATTTAATCTTATATATATATATTTTAATTGTTTTAGGGGGCGCCGTTAGACCGTTCTAGAGGGGCGTGGGGGGGCAGCTTGCCCCTCCCCCACCCACCCCACCCCCTATACTAAATCCGCCACTGCCCAGAGGTAATTCTACGAATAAAATAAGGGGGGGGGGTGAATCCTTAAAAAGTGGCTTCTAAATAATAAAAAAAGGTCCTCAAAACTAAAATTTACCCGACTGAACTGTGTCAAATGCCCGACTAGCCGACTAAATTCGTTAATAAATCGACTATAACTTAAAAATCGCCTTCTTTGGGATTGGGGGTGAACATGTATAAAAGTACGTATATTGTTTTTTGTAGTTATATTTAGTACAAAATCAAACGCTATTTATTATTTTAATATTTACTGAACCAGTTTAAGCTTTCGATTTAATAAAATCGAAAGCTTAAACTAATTTATTAAATAATAAAATAATAAATAGCGTTTGATTTTGTACTAAATATAACTACAAAAAACATTATACGTACTTTTAAGCACAAGGTGTCGTTTTTTTTAGACAATATCTGTAAACGATCCCTTGGATGATAGCTAATTCAAAGTATGCACAGTAGGACAGAGTATGCCAAAATACAAAAAAATCACTATCGGCATTGTATTCTGAAAATATGTCATAATGGTGAAAATATGTTTATTAGAGGAAATATATAGTTAAAAAAACATTAAACATTAATTTAAACGTTGTTTTATGCGGTTATATACACGTGAATTTGACATGTGTTTCAAAACGCTTTTTTGCATTTTTTAATTATCAACTTTCTTACGCTACTATTGTTTTAAATTAATTTTATTGAGTATGATTTTAAAAAATATTACTTGAGTTAACTTTTTTTTTTCGCTCTGACTATTCAAAATAATTAAACGTAAGTGTAATCTTCAGTTTTTATGCATCAGTGACAGGCAGTTTTGGCTTTTTTTTTTGCTACTGACCTTTACTATTAGGTATCAGATAAATCGTCCTCCAATATCCTCCAAACATTTGATTATGTAAATCGGATGCTTAATGTATCTTAACTGCAATTTATTATAAATATTTTGCAACTTTTTGCAACTAATAAAGTTATAACAAATAACTCATACTCAATTCATAGTATTTATTGCAAAAACACGTTTTTCATAAGTTCTTGAAACTCAAATATTTTTCATGACTTTTTAACTGCAAATTAATTATGCAAGATTTTTTTTACCAAAGGTTTCAATAATTATTTTTTTTTTAGTTTTAAATATAATACTTGTTGATATGGTGTCTTTTTCCCTCCATCCCTCCTCCCCCCCCCTCCTTCCTTTTCCTCCTTAAAAAAATATTTTTATAACCTTTTCAGTATATCTAATACTTTTACAAATAGTGTATGCACTAATAATATTTTACAGACACTTGTCCGCAAGATGCAATAACTTCAATTTTGTTTTTAGATGAAATATTTTAATCTTTTCAACTCTTTAAAAGATAATAAAATTTCTATTCAAGATACTGAGAAATCATATATTCATTTTCTAACATTCTTTAAGTTATCCCTTGATCAGAACAATGAAATTATTTGGAGATTAAAACTTATGAACATTTTAGCACATCTTAAATATCGCTGGAATGTCTGTAAACGCAGAGAATCTTTATTTATTAAGAACAATACTAAATGGCTTGATAATGAAATTAATTTAAATGATTTTGCTGCAGGCAAAATAACCATACCTACAAGTTCTCAATCTACTTCCAGCGCTGGTCGACCAACAATTACTGACTTTCAAGAGTGTTCTTCAAGAACTAAGTATCGACATGTTAGTAAACTCTAAAAAAGTCACTTGTCAAATGAGCTAATATTTGCTTCAAAAGTTTCATTAAATAAAGAAGGAAAAATAGAAAAAGCTAAAGCAATCAACAAAATATATTTAGATAAGAATGTAGATTCTTCGATGCTTTCTGGAAATGAAGCATTGTCGTTCATGCTAGATTCAAATATGACCAAAGCTGCGTTTCAACTCCATAGAAATGCAGCAATTGAAAAAGAATGCAACCTGTATCCTGCATATAACAATATAAAATCATCAAAACTTTTGTGCTACCCTAATAACATGGTTTTTACTGACTATACTGCAAGTATACCACTGCAAAGTTTATGTGACCATACAGCTCAAAGACTTTGTCAAGTTCAAAATGAGGTTTTATGTATGCTAGAAACGTTTGACTTGGTATCTCTTCATTATAAAGCAGGTTTTGATGGGTCTACTGATCAAAGCATATATAAACAAAAAATGTCTGTTGAAAGTTTTCGCGACTTGAAAAGAGAAGAATCATTGTTTCTAACTTGCCTGGTTCCACTTCAGATTACAACTTATGTTTGAGAAACCCTAACTGTCATTTGGAGAAATCCAAAACCTTCTTCCACTTTATATTGCCGACCTTTAAGATTTAAATTTGAAAAAGAAACAACTGATTTATTACTTATTGAAGAAGCTACTTTGAAAGACGAGATCTTAAATCTTGTAGAAACTTTTCTTCAGTTATCTAATGGCAAGTCTATTTCAGTCAAACATATCATTCAAGTTACAATGATAGATGGTAAAGTCCATACCGCGCTATCAAATGTAACAAGCTCTATCAATGTTGCTGTATATGCGGGTGTTCACCAAAAGACATGAACAATATTGACAAAGTTAAGAAACTTCCATACTCACCGGATGAGCTTCAATATGGATTATCTACACTTCATGCATGGATAAGATTTTTTGAGTGTCTCATACATATTTCATATAAGATACCAATAAAAAAATGGCAAGCAAGAGGAAACGTAGAGAAATCTCTTGTTAAAGAGCAAAAAATGAAGATACAAAAAGAATTTCAACACAAAATGGGACTTATTGTTGACTACCCAAAATCTGGAGGATCTGGAAACTCAAATGACGGCAATACTGCTCGAAAAGCTTTTTCAAATAAAGACTTGTTTGCTGATATTACAGAAATAAACAAGGAACTAATTG